GCCAGCATTGAGTCTAAGTCGCTTGAGAATGTGTCGTTCCCGCGAGGTTTGGGGGTGGGTGTAGGGGTGGGTGTTTGGGCGGAGGTTTGTGAGAGGAGGATTGAGAGGGAGACAAGGAGTAAGAGGACGAAGGATGTAAAGGTGAGCCGCATTGTTGTTTATTATGAGAGCGTGTGGGTGTGGGTATATCTTTGGTATTGTAACGAGAGCGTGGAGCGAATAAGGGAAGAGGAGAAGAGGAGATGGGTATAGTGTGAGAAGTAGAGGAAGTTGGATATTGATTGTTGATGAGAGAAGAAAAAAAAGGCACAAGGGACACCCTTTTTATATCCTCTCTGTTCTTTCTGTCGAAGACAAACAAATAAAAACGCCCGAAAGCCAGGTAATCAGCACAATAAACGATGATTGCTTTGTATGTTGTCTGACCTTGTGTGCGGAGAAATATGCGATTGGCACACCTTGATGTGTAAAAACAGGTTTTAAAACCAAGGGGGACGAGCGAACCAAGACTTTCCCACAGGAGTCCCCCCCCCCCCCCTGCACCTAATTGATGTCTGCATGCGGCGTATTGAATTGACATGCCACAGCCCGATAAAAAAAAAGAGAAAAGCCCGGTTCTGAATCATAACCTTCGATTTCTTCCATCTCTGGACTCAATTACTGTAACCTTATTCATGGACCCTGTTTTGCTCCCTTTGCTCCCTTTTGTCAAGTGGATGTCCTCACGTGTCGTCCCTGAACGCCTAAAAGCATAACAGAAGGGGACCTGACTGTTTCATGGTTGGCATTTGACAGGCTGTTGTTCGTCCTTTGTCTATCTCACACAAAATCTTGATTTCGGTCTTTTTTCTATTTAAATTAACACTCCACATGCATTGAGAAGGACGCATACCTTTCAATGATACAAAGCTCGTAACTGTAACCATAGTGGACACTCTTGATGCACTGACGCACATTTTTTCCCTTCGCAATCCCACTTTCGTTCAGAAAGACGGAAAACGAAAGGAGAAGAGAAAATGATAAAACGAGAGGGAACCCATCCTATTAATCACCTCGGCTGTTTCGCTCCTTGGTTTGTCTTGAAGGTATGATACCGCTAACTTTTTTTTCTCGTCGCTTGAAACTGCTGTCTCAGATTATTTTTTTTGTTTGTTTGCTATTTTTTTTGTTTGTTTGCTATTTTTTTATTCACGGAGCTGCCAAGAAGTTGCTCCAAAGGATCAGCAGCAAAGTATCATCCGCTGTTGACAGCAGACAACTTCGACTTCGAGAGCGACATCTCCCTTACTCAGAACCAAGGGCAACAGACGAAACGCCAGAATGGATACACTCAATGTTAACCCCAGCATAAGAACGCTTCAACATCGTTGCCATCCTGGCATCACAAGCCTCAGGCTTGGTACAACCCGAGATCCAGGCTACATTGCTGGCAGCAGCACATTGACAAATCCGGGACTCGCGGGTCATTTGTCCGGTTTGCGGGTTGGCAGGGATGTTCTCGCAGGTGGGGACTTGAGCATTTCTGGCGGTAAGGAGGCACTATTTGCAGGCTGCTGATGCATCGTTGACCCATTGGGCGGTGGTTGTTGGTGTGGAGAGGAGGAGGGTGAGGGGGGTGAGGGAGGTGAGGGTGAGGAGGGCGGAGGTTGAGAAGTGCATGGTGTTTTTTTGGTGTGTTTGTTAAGTGTACGTAAGGGTGTGAAGGTGTGTTCGAGGTGAGTGGAGAAGAGAGGAAAAAGTGATGATTAGAAAAAAAGTGCGCAGAAAGACATTGCCTTGCGGAGGTGGAGAAAATCGTCGCATGACTTTTTTGTCCTTCTTGTCCCTGAACCCTAGAACCCAAGGTTGTTTGCTCGTGGTTTTTTATTTGCTGCCAGAGGGGGAAGGATGTGGAAAAGACGCTTATGCGATAGGTGAAGTGTTTTTGCCTCTTTATTACTATCGTACACTGGGGAGCGGAGATCCACTACAGGATGATGATCTACAGGACGATTCCAAGAGCAGTGGCGGCAGCAACTGTCACTCCCGTAACGACGCTACTCCTCGACCCCAACAAAGATGAACTACCACCAGCAGCGTCAGAGGTAGAAGAAACACCCGCATTGATACAAGCAACCTTGATCATTTCATATGCGCCCCTCAAAACATTTGCTGTCAAGCTATCACAGAGATCGGGCTTGTTGCATGACGTGATCCAGACATCGGAGTCGGCGGCTCCGCATTGGCAGGTCCTTTCCTTGGGAGTCATGGTATTGTTGCTGGAGCTGGTTCTTGGAGTTGATGTGATTCCACTGCAAGCGGGAACTTGTTTGATCCTGGAGGTGATGAGGCACTGCTTGCAAGCTTCGTTGTTGCCTGAGGTTTGTTGTGCAGAGACGGAGATGAAAAGGATGGTGAGGGTGAGAAGTAAGACGTGCTTTGATAAATACATCTTTCGTTGTTGTTTGTGGTGGAGGGTTCTGTGGGTATGAGTGTGCAGGGAATGGTGTGAAGAGAGAAAGGGGGTCGGTTCTCTCTCTTCTTATATTTTCTCTTCCGTCCTTCCTCAGATCGGTTACTGGCAGGGAGGTACAACCGGATTCTCATGGAGACCCAATTGATCAAACCATCCAGCGCCTCCAACCTTTTTTTTTTTTACACAGAACTTACGCCTCCGATTCTTTTATTCTCTCTTTTTTTTCTTTCGTGTGCTCTCAGATGTACCGCAAGAGAAGTACTGGGATTGAAAAAGTAGTTGGTCGAAACCTTCACAAGGTAATAAATCATATTTGTCCTCTCGCAAACGCTTTTTCTTTCCACTGGTCTACGAGTTGGGGCTGATACCTTTTTTCGCAGTTGTTCGCCATTACCGGTCCTTTTCCAAACTGCGATTCAGAAATGGGGAATTGTATTGACGAACAAGGAGAGAAATGGAAGGGGGAATTAGCGATGAGAGTAGGTGCATCGTTCGTTTCCCTCTCCCTCATTTTCTCTGAATCTCTCTCCAACCACCTTTTCCTCTGAGAGGCCTTCCATCACCTCTTCTCTTCGATCCGCCAGAAAGTTAGTCACGGTATGCGGATTCATCGTCGCATCTGAAGCGTTATGAGGCCCTTGCCAACTTGCTCGGGTGTTGTCAAGGAGACTCGTACTATGCTGCCTTGTACCAGCAAGGAGTAGGGTTCCATTTATTAATATTTCATTTCACTTCTTTTTTTTGTCAATTCATTTCTTGAAAAAATATATCTACATTACAATCTGAAAAAAAAAAGATCGCCAGCGGATCAGCAAACGTTTTTTGGCACTTTGGATAGCCTGAGATTTTGACTCTTGTTATTTGAGAATATCAACATGAGAATGATGACGTCGGACAACCAATGTACTTTTGATCTATCGATATGGCACCACTATTGGACAAGCACTTTCTTTTTTCATCGTGCATACTCCGTTTTTTCGTTACACGACTTTGCCGATCTTTCATTTCTGCTTCATTCTTTTTCTTACAACTCTTTCCCCCTTCATTTTTCGGTGGAGCGACTACGATTGAAAGGAAAGCACAAAACTGCTCGTCGAATCTGATTATCTTCCTCGTGTTCCGAGGGGAATTATTAATGTAACCAAAGGCTAGCTTTTCTCTCATATTCTATCGTGGCAAAAAAAAATAAACGACAGAACTTTGCTTCCAATACCTTAGTTTTGACTTATGTTCATGAGCAAGAAGTCGCCGATGTATGGACGATAATGAAAACTCGATACCACTTTGAACGCTTTCTTCTTGGTCATGCCTTTCTTTGCTTACTGGATTATTGTGAGTGAAAAGTGGTGCTAGCTTACTTAGCGATTGATGAAGGAAATAGAGGTGGCCCCTGAGGATCACCTAGCTGAGGTGACGACTTGGACTGGCCAGTTTTTTACAACCTCTCTTTTTTTATATTAAACCAACACCGCGATGTAAAAAAAAGATCCAGTCTGGTGCGCCCTTAAACTGCTGAAAGCATGCCAAAGATACCACTGGAATACGTTTGGTCCTTCTTTGCCATGGCGCACACTTTTTTTTGGTGCACGCCTCTCTCCTGCCGACCGACACACGTGTGGTATGTCGAGTAATGCGGCCATTAGAGTTATGACTAATTTTCATGATCCCAGAGATGTAAGATGACTTTTGTTGCCTTGTTCCCCTCTTTTTTCATTCAAAAAAAAACTGAAAGATGGAGTTTTGTAATATCGTTGTTTTCGTGTTTGCGTTTATGGATAAACAAGGCACCGATACTTGTTGCCACCTGCTGTTTTACTTTTTTGTCGTTTCCTTCCACTTTTCTTTTGTCTCGGATACTGGGATATGACAGGGCAGGACTTCGTTTGACGCTTATTATTTTCTGCTACGGTTGGACAATTCTGTGGTAAAATGACTTTGGTGATTTGCAGGTACCACTTGTCTCGCCTTTGGTTTGAGGATTCTTTGAAAAGAAACGCGCGGATCTGGAGTCAAAGTCATAGCAAGGCGGAGGAGACAATTTGGCGTAATGAAGGCTGAAGAAAAGAAAAAGAAAAAGAAAAAAAAGTCGAGGAGAGGTGGGGATTTTGTTTAAACCTCTGACCATGGTGGTCATGCCATCTCATGCGATCGATCAGTGGAGCTCTCCTAACTAGGACCCTACTCCTGACGTAAGATGTTCATCACCTTGCCCTTCTGACCATGGTTCATGCATCTGTGGAGCATGGGAGACAATCTTGATTATTTTTTCTCTCTGTGCACGCCAAAAAAGAAGGTAAATTTGCTAGTTGTGAAATAGCTATATTTTGATCTATCTCAATCAAGTCAAAAAGTAGGTGTTGATGTGTTCATATTTTAGGGCTATTTGTCTCGGCATTCTTTCTTCTTTGTGATTGAGCGAGGTGAGGGTCAACATCTTTTCTTGTCTTGAAACGCTCGAGGCATCTCCCACCACACGCACTTGCACTTCTGTAACGACAAAATGGTAAATGGTTCTTTTATTATGGCATCTATACAAAGTTGTTCCTCAGAAAATAGAAACAGCGCCCACTACGGCAGCAGCCAAGCCTGCAGCAACCTTCACCGCCACCGCCACCGGCACCGCCACCTGACCCGCCCCATTACCCCCAGTCAATGAGTTGCCAATTCCCGCCGCAAGACAAACCGTCCCCTTGACAACTGCAAACGACTGGATGTACTGCGTGATCGTCCCACTATCACAGGTCTCGGGGGCGTCACAAGTTTTAGCCCAGGACGTCGACGCCGCGCCCAGGCCACAGTAGCAGGATTTCTGGGCATCGGTGAGGGCGAGGGGGTTGATGATGGCGGAGAGGGGCGTGCTGACGAGACCGGCACAGGAGGGTGTGATGGCGACGGCGGCCTTTTCAAGGCATTGGTAGCAGAGGATTGTGTTGAGGGGTGGTTGGGCCGTTGTTGGACTGGAAAGGGATGAGAAGATGGTCAGGGTTGCGATGAGCGCTGTGATGAATGTTTTTGAGAGGTGCATCTTAGGCTTTGTGGGTTGAAGTGTGTTGAGTGCGTGTATTGTGATGGAGAAAACGTTGATACGAGTAAGAAAAAAAAAAGTGGGGTCAATCCTCCTTTATGTATCCGTCGCTTTCCCGGTGATTCAACATAAAAGTCGACAGAGCCCCATTCTTTACCAAAAAAAAAGCCCAACTAAGGCTGTGTGAGCATTTCTCTTTGGTCTTTGGTCACTCTGGTCAATAATGGCGTGGATATGGACCTGAGGATACAAATTACAATTGACGTTCATGACACTAGCTCGCCCAAGAAGAGAGAATTGACAAGTGCGAATGAACATGTGCGAACGAGCAATTAAAGCTGAGGCTGAGAGGGTTGAGTGCTCACAAAGACACTCAATTTTTTTTTCTTTGCTGTTGCTCGTGTGATGTTCGTAACTGGACTATCGAAATTTCGCCCCTCCGTGATTTGCGCCCTGATGGATTTCCAAGAAGCAATGCCACACTCCCACACACACATAGCTAGACTAATAATAGCATGGAAGGCTGGGAAGGCTAGGAAGGCTGGGAAGGCTAGGAAGGCTGGGAAGCATGGAAGTAATTTGCGAGTAGTTGGCAATGGGTGTATGTGAGGTTAGAGGTACAAGAGTACGCTGAGAGACACCGCATTTCCAGTGGAAGACGTCCATGGGCGATAGCAGGGGAGAGAGAGGATTCAGCCCTGGGAGCGCGGAGGTGTTCCTAAGTGGGGTCTTCTCATAGACCGTTCATATATGCGTAGTAGCATATATGGTGGAAGGGTGTGGTTCTGCTCTGTCGCAAGTCTTTTGTTATATAGGAGGGGGTTCTTGGCACTTGTGCTCTTACTTAAGGCATACGCCGGTGGGATGTGTCATCGACTATTAAGGAAGGGCGAGGTTGACATGGGGCCAATGTCGTATCAGATGCAACGAATCAGCGATTCGACATGAAGAATGAGTTCATGGAAGAGGATGGTTGATGGGATGGGGCTTTCCTTCCTTCTACGTTTTCACACCTGTTTCCATCTTGTGCATGTACTTGTGTGCTGCCTATCCTGTTGGTCCTTTGTGGGAAGGTGAAGTTGTTGAACAGAGAAAAAAGGTGAGCCCGCTAGTTCAGAATTGTGGATCAGTGTCATAGAAGTAAGGAAGTCACAAAGCCAATAACGAAGAGAGAATTAATATGGCATGCGTTCAAGGCGAGAACGGGTAGCCATCGGAGACGAGATTGGTCTATGGAAATAGTGCGCGTTCGATTTGGGAGAGCGTGGAAGCGAGATTCTGATCCTCCAAAAATTGAACGCTTCTTGCGCTTCATTTACACGGGTTTTGTGCGTGGAAATATGAAGCGTACATTTCTGACTCCTGAAACAGCGTCGATCACACACACACACACACAGCAGGTATTGCACATGGAAAAAAAGAGTCCTCGGTAATATTTTTCAGTGAGAACAGTGGAACCCTCACCCACAATAATACGAGGAGACGAAAAGACTCTCTATGATAAAGAGTTCGAAAAAGTACCGCCAAGTACTCAAACAAGGGCACCTATGACAGCAGCGACGCCCAACCCGAAAGCAGCAGCCTTAGATCCAGGAGCCAAGCATCCAGCAGTGTCTGTAAAAACGCCGCCATTAGGACAAAACACCTTCGACTTCAACGCCGCCATCAACCCATCATACTCCTCCATCATCCCCGCACTACACGCATCAGGTCGTTCGCAGGTATGGTACCAGTCGCCGTTCGGGGCAGCCATGGAACAAAGACACGTCTTTTCCTTGTTGGATAGTTTGTCAAAGACGATGGTATTGATGTTGCCGAGGTACCCGATGTCCTTGCAGGAGGGTTTTGTGTCGATGACGGCTTTGTCGACGCAGGCTTGGCAGGCGGTTTTGGAGGCGGCCGCAGAGGAGAGGGACAAGAGGGATGGGGTGGTGCCGGCGGAGACGGTGATGGAGAGGACTGCGAGGAGGGCAGACGCGGTGATGGTGCGGAAATACATTTGTGTGTGTGTTTATGTTCTTGAAGAGAGTGAGAGAAAGGGAGAGAAAATGTTTAATAGGAGGAGATAGCATGGGTGTGCCAATCTATGTCTGATTGTCGCGGTACCCAAGGCCATTGAATTACACTCCGATCCTGAAAAAAAGTCGCAAGACACATAAGGGACGGACGAGTGGAAAGACAAAGGAGCCGATGCTCACACAATACAAACTCACTTTTTCGACTCGAAGGCTTTGCTTAAATTCTACGCCCCCAGTTTGGCACCACCTTCTCCTCCTCTAACCTTCATGAGAAAAAAAACGCATCACTGGGTAGTGCACACCCGGTATGCAGGCAAAAAAGAACTCAGAACAAAGCGCTCATGGTGCTCATATCTACTTTGAGTCGAAACCTTCATTTTTTCTGTGGACCTTTTTTGTTTTCATTTTCACTCACTGCTTAAAGTACCCGACGGGAACGAACTCCAAGGGGGCGTTATGTGTGCATCTGTCCACCCCCTTCTCCGTCTTGTTTTCGGATTGGTTTCTGAGAGATGATACAGAGTGAACACCATTCAGCCCAACTTATTTCTAGCAAGTAAATTGTGATGAGCTCAAACAATAAACCAAAAGAAAAGAAAATATACCGTGAACTCCACGTCCATGAACACACATGACGCTCACAAAAAAAACACATCTCTTTTGCCTCTGTTTCATACTTCGTCACTTCCAATGGTATCTTTTCTGTCAGACGCAGTGATGAGTGTACTCACAACCCTCAAACCATTTTTCTTGACATGAATAAATGAACGGTTACACGATGATGAAAAATTAGAAGTGAAGAGATTGTTTTATGAAGGTATGAGAAGAGCTAGCTCTGAGAGTATATGTCAACTATGAAATGAGAGTGGGTTGGCTATTTACAATAGGACACAGAAAGCAGCAGCGGCAGCAGCGACACCAGCAGCAGCGGTCGAACTAACAGCCCTCCCAGACACTGCACCACTAGGAACATTCGCACCCGTTGCATTCGCAGACCCAGACCCAGGAGCAGGACAAACAGTCTCCGTCGTCAAAACAGAAACATAATACGCAATCAGGTCCATCTTCTCCGTACTGCAAGTCTCAGACAGGTAACAGTTCTGGTACCAGTCGCTGCTGGGAGACATTGCACAGTAGCATTTCCGGTGCTGGGGGGTGAGCTTGGAATCGGAAAAATCGTCAACGTTGCCGATGTAGGTGAGTTTTGCACAGGCTGGTTCGAGCTTGATCATTGAGTTTTCAACGCAGCGGTCGCAGTCGTCTTTAGCGGCGAGGGAGATCAGATCCGGGGCGGCGGCTGAGACGGTGCAGGACAGGATCGCCAGCAGGACGGAAATAGCGAATGGTTGGAAGAACATTTTTATGAGTGTGTGTAGTTTCTGGGTGGATGGAAAAGGGAGAGTGATGGGGGGTTCTTATATATCAATTTTTTTCAGTACCTGAAGTAAACTACGTACCCATCAATTATCACTCAGATCTCAGAAAATATAATGGAGCTTGCATTTCAGGCACCAAAGACTGAAGGATGGATTGAAAGACAACCAAAAAAAAAAATCGATGCCCAATAGAGTTGCCATGCATGTAGCTTTCGTTTCTCAGCTGACCTTTGTGCTGTGCCTCCTCTTTCTTCTCTCTCTGCACCCTTTGTGGAAATTCTGCCATCTTCTCATTCCATTCTCGTGGAGAGCAAGGCTAGAAGGAACAGGTCATCGATTCAAGTCGCGCCATGCCCGTCCTAGTAAAGGTGTGATGTGGAAAGGTGCAGCAAACAAAAAAAGGCTCAAATCAAACTCTCATGCTGCTCAAATCCACCACGGGTCGAAACCTTCGGAAAACAGACCTCGCTACTGGACGCACCCATGGGCATTGTACCCCATGCGGAGGCGCTGTTTGTGCATGGGCTTCAATTCTTGCATGAAGTGAAAACATTTTTTTCAGCGAGGATCGTTGATATCGCTTTTGCAATGTTCGAAAAGAGGCATCAAAGCGCGTATTTATTCTTTTCTGCCAAGAAACAAAAAAAGTAGAGCTGACGTACAAAAAAAATGTGGTCGAAGATGCTTCTACAAAAGAGCGGCAAAGACAACAGCAGCAGCGGTGACAGCACCACCACTCGACGCGGCGATATTTCTAGACATAGCGCTACTTGCAGGAACATTCACAGTAGCACCACCCGATCCAGAACCAGAGCCAGAACCAGAACCAGAGCCAGAACCAGAGCCAGAACCAGCCTCAGCAGGACAAACAGTCCTAGTTCTCAAGATCTCAGTAAACCGTGCCGCATAGCCCATCATCTCCGCATTGCACTTGTTGGTCGTCTGGCATGTCAGGTACCAGGCGTTACCGGCGGGCAGACTGCAGTAGCACTTACGGTGCTGAGGGGTCAACTTGCTATCGGCGAACTCATTGATGGTTCCGATGTTGGAGAGGTTGGCGCAGGCGGGTTGGACGAGGATCATGGAGTCTTCGTAGCATTGGTCGCAGGGTGTTGGGGCGACGCGGGGGAAGAGGCGACCGGTGCCAGCAGCGGAGGCTGCGGTGGCGGAAAGAACCAGGACCAAGGCAGAAAGGATGGTGGTGGTAAGGAAGTGCATCTAAGCTTGTGGATTGATGATGTGAAGGAGAAGAGATGGATTGAACAGTGCGTAAAAAAGGGGGATACCCTTGGTATTAAAGCATTTGTTTGTTTACGAGATTGACTTGAATGATCTTCCTACTCTGTTTCCTATTTTGACTCACACGCACTGTACACACGCAGAAAAAAGAGCATGGACGCATGTCTGCCATGGGAGTTGAACTAAAGAGGCGCTTCACTTAACTGTCGCTCCACGTAACTGTCGCTCTGAACAAATCCCTTGCTTGCTGTGTCATGTTTCTGGTGAAATCAAAGAAACGTTCCTTTTGCTCTCTTATTGATCGAAACCTTGATTGAACCTTCTTTACAACGGCCGATATACCTGGTAGAGAAAGTGTCCTGTCTCCAATTCCTGCAGAGGTAAAAATATCCTTACCAGCTGGATGTATTTGTTTTTCGACTCCTCCTCTTATGGCCGCGCCATCGAGAGGCAAGGAGCTTAGACAATAATGCGAACAGGTGATCAGGCATAGAACGGAAAAAGAAGAGTGAGAGAGATAGCAACAAGGATGAAGTGAACTCGCGTGTCTTTAGTTGATCATCAGAAATTACGTGGGCGTGTGTACACCTAAATGTTCAATTCCTCCCAACTATTGGCTGTTCATCATGTCCACCTTATTTACCTATTTTTCTTGATGGCGATCCAAGCGCCATCGACGGACATCGCGCACTGGTATAAGTAAGCAAACACAAGGGATTAGGGGGAAAATGACGACGGAGACGTAGGCATGAGAACACTTTGTTTATTTGGGCTGTGGCCATCCACGTTTCGATTTTTGATTTTTTGCATTTTGCAAGGGGAGGAGAGAGAGTATGTAAAGTGTGGAAAGACACGCCCTATTGTCTCTGTTGACTTCGTCCTCTCGTTCTTTCGCCACCTCTCTCACTCCAATCGACCTCTTCATCCAGAGACAAGATCAAGTCAGGACAACCATGGCCGACGCAGACATTCTCCAGACCCGTAAAGCACACACCACCCACAACAACCACCCGGATGACGGATCGACCTCAGTCCCCATCGTCGAATCTAACTCGGGTGCCGATCAATACCCGAACCCATTCCAGCAACACGTCGGACAAGCACATGGACGTAATCAGCAGCAGCAGCAACAACACTATAATGTTATGATCCCAACAGTTGATCACTGGCCTGCAATCTTCCTCGACGGCCTCAAGACCTCGGCCCAATTTGCAGTCCTCGGTCTGAAGCAGGCTCACACCAAATGGCAGGAATATCAATCCTCTCGCGGCGGGTCATACCAGGTCCTCCCCACCACCACCATTGACTCCCTTTCCCAACAACAAAACACTCCGACACGACAGATGTTCACGTTCGGAAGCAAGAGACAACAAAAAGGCGGACACCAATTCTCGGTCTCAGGACGTCGCCTCACCCGACTTCTCTTCCTGCTCGTCCTCGCTGTCACAGCCATCCTCCTCCTGGTCCTCCCTCACCGACTGAACCCCTTGGAAGACCGTGCGATCTGGATCCGGTACTACTCGCACGAGGAAGCGATCAAGATTATGGTCCCTTACGGAATCAAGTTGCACGTGTCTGATGTCAAGAAGGCGGCGTTGAAGGAGTTGCACCAAGGATTTTCAACATTTGGCCCTGCAGGAACCGTCAAGCTCATCTCAAGGAGAAATGGAGCTATGGCGCCGGATAGGGTGTGGAATAACCGTGATTGGGAATTTGAGAGTTCGGCCCGTCATCCTATCCTTATCGTCGACACCAAATACGGTACGCTCTTCTTCCTTCAGTTGGAAGGTGGATGCTCTTTTTGTACTTTGTGGGCGCCACTATTCATTAAGGGGGTTTGAACAACTCCCAAGCTCTATCTCCATGGTTACTAACTAGTTGTTCCGTGTGCACTAATGGTATGATAATAGACCTATTCCGGTTCTTGGAATCGTCGCTGCACTGCTTTGCGCAACAGCGGGAGTATGCTCAGCAGCGTCGAGACCAATTCATGGTCTCGTTCAATCCAGAACACAACGACTACGCCACACTTGCGAGGATTATCAACAAGATCGCTAACGACGAGAAATACTTTGAAGAATACGAGATCTTTTACTTGCGCAATGCATTCGACGGTACAGTACATGTTCTACTTTTTTTTTGTCCTTTTTATTTTTCTTCTACGTGTTTGTGCTCTCTTTCTTGGGGGTTGTGTGCGTGTGCGCTTTTGTTGTTACAATGGTACAATGCGTGTATACCAATACCTTCCTTGTATACGACGACAATATTACCAATAGACCCTAGGAAGAATGACCCAAGGACAGGACAGAGGTGGGAAAAGAGCAGCGGAAGCAGGGACATCTACACGCGACCGGACGTCGGCTACATACCCCACCAAACGGCCAGACCTCTCTGGGATGACATCATGAATGACTCTGATATGTTGTCGCTTTACGACCGAGATCCATTAATGGTGTGAAATTGACTGGCTGACAGGTCATTTTAGCTTCCGTTAGGGATCAAATGTGAATAAAAATGCAGAAAGAAGAAAAGGAAAAGTATGTCAAAGTTTTCAGTGGTATGTTTGTATGCTAGTAACATCAAGAACTACGAAGGCCAAGGCGTCGTGCGGGACTTTGTCAAGGCCAAGGACTGGTTCTTGAGGGCCTCCGATCGCGTACACAAGGAATATCGGCGAAATTTACGAGATTGATGACAGAGTGAGAAAGGACTCGGTAGCCGCCAAGAAGTGGTACAGTCAATGGGGATGCCGAAGATCTGGTCACCATTGGAAATATGTACTACCGCGGCGACCGTGGCCTTCAAGATTACACCAAAACCATGGAATCTTACCCAGGGTCGCGGAGTAAAGACACGAAGAGACCCAGTTCAGTATTGGTCATATGTTCTACTTTGGTCATGGTGTCCATCAGGATTACACTGAGGCCCACGAGTGGTGGTTCAAGGCTGCTGAGCAAGGATATCCTAGGGCGCGGGTTAGGGTGGTTTGTGAAACGTATATCGACGGTCGAGGCGTTCCAGTTGATTACAGCAACTCAAAGGAGGGGCTGCGTGGTGCACAAGTGGATCAAGCCAAGGCGTTAGAGTTGTACAGAAAGGATGCCGAGCAGAAGTATGCGGATGCTCAGCTCCGGATCGGTGTATTGTATACTAAGAGTCGCGGTGGTGTTGTGCAGAGCTACGTATAGGCAGTGAAGTGGTGCGTGAAGGCGGCTGATCAAGGAAACGAACAGACAAAGGAGGAGTTGGATCGATTGAAGAACATGGGTGTTTACGTTCCTGCCTCTCCTGCTGGACAATTTCTTCGAGACTAGCGACGAGAAAGAGAAGAAGAATGTGCACACGCGATACTTTTTCTGCTTGTTTGCCGTCGAGCGTTGTGTGCTTTTGGGGCATGGCTGAAGAACATGGAATGACCTCACAAGCCAATTGCAAATAAGAAAACGAAGGGGCTTATCAACATCAATTGGAAAGCGCGCCAATAGGAGATTCAAATGAGTTGTCCTTGCTTGACCAAACTCCTTTCTCTCTTTTTCTTCTACCGCTTCTTCTCCTTCCCTCTTACATTCGTCGTTGCTGCTTTCAACGCACCCATCAGCCCAAGCTGCAAGGATCCTTTTTCTCCAACGACAACTTTTGAACTCGGGGTCATCACCATCACCATCACCAATGCAGGAAGATCAAGTACAGGTTGTCAAGGACGTACCTCAGCATCAGAATATATCCCAGCGGGCTGTCTTCACGTCGCCTGCTACTTTGACGCGGCGTTAGGACGTAACATTATTCTCTGCTTATACCGTTCAAGAATGCCCGATCGGAGTCAAAAGCCCCCTTTCTCAAGGGTGCTGACTCCAACAGGTGCGTGCTTATTGTATGCTTATTTTGGTGCGCCAGCGTATGTAAGCTATGTTTATGTGACGAGAGAGCAGTGTTGGGGGCTTCTTTGAACAGTGATTGGCAACCATCATGTTGCTACAACGCTCAAAACAAAATGGGAAGCACACGTCTGAATAAATACCTTTTTCGGTCTCCTGGGTATGGTCGGGACAACGAAATGGTCCATTTTACTTCAGCTTGTTGCCTTGAGGCTGGGGGTTTCTGCTGCGAGAATTAGTAGCTGTTGTCGGGTGCCACATTCCTTTCCGAGTGATGCCTTTGCTTTCTAGCGATGGAATTCTAATGCATGGCAATTGGCGATTCATTTTTGAAAGGTGAGGTTTAGCTCAATTGTCTTCTTTTCTGGCATTGAGGACCATGATTCATGGTTGCTGAAAGAGGGTGGCGACTTGTCCTCTTTGTGTGCCCATTGGTGCAGGAAGTCAACTTAGCCCAAGGGCATTGTTGTTGTAGGTTCAGGAGCCTTCACCTGTCACATTGAAGCCTAGCCTTTCACATAGTCGACCCTCTATCATGTTGGTGGACCTGGCTTTGTGGTGGACTATGCAAAGGCGATGGAGTGGTATATGAAGGCGGCGAGTCAAGGATATGATTCGGCCCAGGCCAGTGTTGGTGAGTTATACAAGTTTGGTCGAGGCATTCCGCAGGACTACCAAAAGGCGATGGAGTGGTTCTTGTTGTCTGCGGGTCAAGGATATACTTGGGCACAGAATAGAATCGGCGACATGTACCGCGATGGCCTTGGTGTTCCAATGGATCAAACAAAGGCCCAGGAGTGGTACGTTAAGGCAAACCCCGGCGGGAAAATGGTAGAATAAACTTCGTCCTGGCTCTCACGCCTTGATAAATCCCCCCCCCCCGTTTCCTCTATTCTCTTTTTCAGCCCTGTCGCCTCGACTTTTGCTTGCTCTTCCTTCGCTACCCTCCAACTTCTACTCCACACCCATTCTCATTCTCACGCTGCCATTGACGTTCCGTCGCTCATTCCTCTAATTCATTCGATTACCTCGGCACCTCTCTTCTCACTTCACACCATGCTTCATTCACCTCTGTTCCGCCCTGTCAACAAGACAAAAGCAGGAACCGCTTCCGTCACTTCAACCTCAAGATCCCAGGCTGACGTCTAACATATTCCAGTTCAAACAGACGACAACGGCAGACTTTGTGTAGTGGAAAAATATTGTCCTGGCAACTGAACTGCGCTTGTCATGCTCGATCCGAAAACAAGGTTCTCGCCTACCTTAAGGACAAGAGCTTTCGGCAGCAAGGTACTCGCCTTCCCTTGTGCAGTATAGGCTAATATGGTTCTCTCCTTGTTCTTCGTCAGAATTGAGCTGTATCGTGTAGCAGCCAATTCTGAGGCAGTCTGGGACGTTGCCATCGATGGACCACTAGTCGAGGCGGAGGAAGGAACAGCACAGTCAGGAACTCCGCTCCCAACAGCAGCCGACACAACGGACACGCCCCCAGCCAATACTCGATAGAACCCAGTTTCCTCCCGTGCGCCAGAATGGATCTCAGGAGGGTGCTATAAGGTTTTTTACGGCCTGGGAAAAAAATCTTACGACCCCCCCACGTCAACAACGAAGACAGAGCATATCGTACAATGCTCGGAACGGTGACCCTGCTGCTCAGGTCCTGCTGTGAGACATCTTCAAGGAGGGCAGTGGTGTTGACCAGGACCTGCAAGTTACGATCAACTGGTACACACGGGCAGCGGATCTGGGACATACCAGGGGCCAGCTCAGCATTGGCGTCATGTACGGTCAGGGACTTGTTGTCGTCCAGGACTTTGTAAAGGCGGCTGAGAGTGGAGATGGATGGGCACAACTCATCCTTACCGGGTGCTGATCGTCAGCCATGGTGTGGAGCGGAACTATCCTGCGGCAACACAATGGTATCCCAAGTCTGCGGAAAATGGGCACGCCAACGCCCAGTACAATGCCAGACCAATGTGTCAACCAGGAACACAGCGGGAGCTCTGTGTAGTGTTGGCTTTGTCCACGACCATGGCCTAGGTGTCCCACAAGACCACGATGAAGCCTGGGGATGGTTCATAAGGCCGCTGCCTTGGGTGATGCCTCTGCCCAGTACACCCTTGGGCTTCTCTATGGATTCGGACAAGGAATCAATCGGATCGTTATGACTGCCAGGAACTGGACGCTGAAGGCTGCAGTGCAGAGACATGCAGCGGCACAGAACCCTGCTGGCTTCTTTTACAACTACAGTATTCCCGACTACCAATAAGCCATGCACTGGCACCATAAGGCAGCCGCGCAAGAACATGCAGAAGCCCAGCGAGACATCGGCATGTTGTATGGCGATGGCGATGGTAGACCCCAGGACTATCAGAAAGCCATGGAGTGATACCTCAAGGCGGTCGCGCAAGGACATGCAGAAGCCCCGTACAACATCGGTGCTTTCTACCTTGATGGTAGTGGCGTGTTTCAAGACAATTGCGCCGTACGGGCTGGGGAAGCTTTGCAAACACGGCCGAGGCGTTCCGGTCGACTATTCTCGTGCTTTGAAACGGTTCATCAAGGCGGCCGAGCAGGGAGACGTCGACCCTCAGTACGAAATTGGCCTTTTGTTGGAGTACTTTGAGAAGGATGATGATGCAGCAGAACCTGAATAAAAAACGTGCGCGCAATTGCAGGACGACCCAAAAAAAAAAAAAAAAAAAAAAAAAAAACAGCCCAGCTCATAACTCCTTTCAATTTTTTGATGTTCGAGGACGGGCCATCTTTGTTGTTTCAACACCTATTTTTTGGGGGGCTCAAACCGCCGTAGTCACAATAACCTTGAAGCTCGTCAACCTCTCCGTCACCTTCTTCACCACTCCTTCCGCTTGGTTTTCGTAACCTCCTATCCTTAGCTCGGTACAACCGCCCAGTCAAGCAACCAGCTACTCCACCATACTTCCACTACATTTTTTTACTTTGGTACATTGGTATATGCACCCATCCGTCTCAACGCTGTTCGACTGAACATGAACATTACCAAGAAACTTTCCTCTCTGAGTCACGCCAAACCATTCAAGGCTTGAGCACCTTCCTGGTCAGACCTTAGAACAATGCTCTTACATTTTCACTGTTACAGTAGAGCAGTAAGTAGAGGATTCTGTGCTGAGCGTGCAGCAAAGGAGAGGCGATGCGAGGCCAGTTCAAGGGTTGTGTCTATGCCAACAAGGTACTCTCTTTTCGGTCTCTCTCTCTCTTGCTACTAGGAAACACATGCTTCTATTAGTGGATGTGAAGCAAACCGGTCGTAGGTTCAAGTCCAGGGTTTCTGTGTTTTGTCCTCAATGTGCAAGTGTGCCAAACTGATAATCTTTTTCCTCTTCCCTCTTTCATTTCTTGAGACTTTTTTTCAATTACCCCTGTAAAACAGGCGTGCTACAGTATTATCTAATGAAGGTGATGATGACAGACAGGGAGAAACACCGATTTATGGTACCTGAATGAAACCCCAAGGGCTGTTGCTTGAGTATTAACGGGAAAATAAAAGAACCCACATATCAAACGAACAAAAGAGACTCTAGGTAAATGGTGGCGTTGGGGTCAGGCACTTCTGGCGTTACGTCCAAGACCTGGGTTGGAGATGTTCTTCAAGGAGGTTTATGATTTGCTGGTGAAGTGACCTCCAATCGTGGCAGCGAACAGGACATGATCGACGAGGTGGGGAAGCCAGATTCTGATGCCGAGGTGGTAGAGGTTACGGTGGTGATATTATTCGTCGTGTTTGGTGGTTTCGCTTGATTGACGTCTCAGGTTACAGACCAACCTCGCGGCAGATTCATGAGTAACATACAAAGGTAGAAAATAACATACAAAATGCAGCAAAAAATAAATAACAGTGTCTTTTTTTTTTTTTTTTGGCTGTAAGACCAACGTGTAGAAACGAACGCCTTCGTCCCTGAATAATATTTTACTTTTGTTTTGGGACATCGCTTCTGTCTCAAACACCACGCGTGTCTTTCTTTCCTTCTCTCATTTTGTGTGTTCTTGTGTGTTGTTTCCACTTCGTGCTCGCCTTTCGTTTATGTCGGTGTCGTTTATGTGAGATCGGACCGTTGTAGATCTAAGCCCTAACAGGCACGCACGCGGAATGCTCCCCCCCCCTCTTCTGCAAAAGTCGACTTTTACTTGTAGTCCCACTTTTTTGACGTTGAACGGAATCAGAAAAGTCGAAGGGGCAAAAACTCTCTCGTTAATCGATCGGAGGAAGTGCTGGGTGTGTATGAATGAAGCTGGGGCATGGCATCATTGGTCAACCCTATTTTTTCTTTCTGTGCTCTCAGAGGACGAGAATGAAAAAAAGTAGACTAATGGTTCACACAGACAAACTATGTTGACACAAGGAAAACCAGAATGAAAGGAAGAGAAGGGGAAGAGAGGAGGGCAGCGGGAGAGTGGAAAAAGGGTGGTGGAAAACAAGTTTTTCTTCTCTGTTTCTCTCCCACCCTAGAAGTACTGTACATGAGTATGTGTATGTGCAACGGGAGTGAGCACAAAGAATGAAGGCAAGCCATTGGTCCATTACAAGGAAGGAAAGAGTTGCATGGTGGGCATGGCAAGAGAAAAAAAGGGGACATAGGTCGAGGTGAAAGGAAGGAAGTTGACTTGTACTTACAAGTCCAAAGAACTCAGATTTGGCCACCCGCCGCCTTGTATCCATGAGCCTCCTTGTTGACCTTTTCCTGGCACTATTGTGATGCGGATACGATGGATGGATAAATAGTGGTACGTGGACGAACAAGAAGGCAAGGAAAGATAAGACAGTCGTACCCCTGTTACCATGGTCGCATATCATTCCCTCGAAAACCTTACTCTCTTGCCTTGATCAATTTTGCGTGCTTTTTCTCTTGTGTTCAACTACTTCTATTGTGCAAGGAAAATGCCCACAGGAGAAGAAAGAAAAACAAACAAGCAAGACATATCATCTCGCTTTGACATTAAAACACAGCATGCATGCACATTAGAGTTTCGCTTGTTGTTAAATGTGACTGTAAATCGACATTTCTACGATGGTGTCCAAGAGGGAGTCGGAGGGCGCCTGTCAACCTGCGCTTCCAACTGTCGGCATCGCAACTTTGCCACCACCCATATCTGGCTGGCACCTGTCATCCGACTGGACTAACCTGACTGATTGCTCTCACCTGCTTCTCCCCTCCCTACTTCCCCTCCTTCCCTCGCCCTCTCGTTCGTTCGTTTCGTTTCGTGAGAAGTCGAAATCAAGAGAGAAATGGAGATTACTCCTCGGCACGTCCATCCGACAGCCTTATTGTCCTTCGTCCCAACTGTGATTCGCTCGTGCTAGGGCGTCGATTCATACCTTTTTTTTTCTTCCCCCTCACCCCTCGTAGTTTCTTTGAGCACATATCGTTTTTGGCATAAAGAATTAACAAAGTTGAACGTGTGGTTAGAGAGGATGAACATGACGGGTGCAATACAAAGTTGTTTACGAAGAAAGTAGCGAAGTCAGTTCACGAGTAAGGCAATTGGTGGCGAACACAAATGAACACAAGCAAGAAGAGGCAGAAGACAGACAAAAAAGAGACGAGGGGAGTGATTTTTGGTTGTTTTCAATTTTAATATATTATACAATTGCAAGCACTTTGCTAAATGGTGTTGGTGATGGATGTTGCTACAAATCTAGATATACAAGATGGAAGTTGCTGTGCACGTACGCTCGAGGCTAGCTAATTTACTCGGTCTGAAAGCCTTTGCCGCAGGTGCCACGACGCAAGTGGCGAACCATCTGATCGCGACGACCGAAGCCTTCGCCGCAACCGCCAGTGCAGAGGTACTTCTTGACGAGGGCGTGCTTGGCGTCGACGTGGCGACGAAGATCGTGCTTGCGCTTGAAGTGGAGCTCGCAGCCGGCGTATTGGCAAGGGAAGGGGAAGAGGTCGGTGTGGATCGCCATGTGCGACTTGAGCTGCGTCCGGGTGGGGAAGGGCTTTGTGCAGGTCGGACAGGCGTAGGACTTGACTGGGCGGACGGCCTTTGTGGTGGTGGCGGTAGGAGCAGAACCATCGATGGTGGAGTTTGTGGAGGTTGCAGAGCAGATGGAGGAGATGGAGGAGGCGCGGTAGCCACGCGCTGCTGACTCGTAGGCAGAGATGGCGGAGGAGGCCGAGGACGAGGAGCGGCGGTGATGGGTCTTGGACTTCTTGTAGGTGGTGGTTGTAGGCATGACCGAGGACAGAGACTGAGCGTGCTGGCAGTGGCGCGAGTGCGAGTGCGAGAGGAGGGCGGCAGAAGGGGCCATGTAGGCTTCAATGGAGGGCAAGTTCAAGGGCATGCTCATCTGCTGCTCAAATTGCTGTTGCTGGTGGTGGTGATGCTGCTGTGCGACCATGGAGGCATAGGGGTTGTTGTAGTCCAAAATAGGCATTGCGGGGGACGAAACCATGGACGAGGCATAGCTGTAGGGCGATGCGGGGGGAGATCCCGAGCGCGAGGTCGAAGAGCAATCAGATTGCTCATGCGACTGGCTATATTGCTGGTTGTTGTGCTGGTTATCCTGGTTCTGGTAGAATTGCTGAAGCATGTCAAGGGACTGCTCGTTGAGGACGATGGAGGGAATGGTCGAAGAAGGGGAGGACATCTCAGCCATGAGCTGGTCGTCGAGGGAAGGACAGGTGGGTTTTGCGAGGGTGGGCATGGTTGGAGGGAATGGGGAGATACCCATGAGGAGACGCTCGAGCTGCAAGAACATGTCCTCGTTAGGCTGCTGCTGTTGTTGTTGCTGCTGCTGTTGGTGGTCGAGGAGGGTGTATTGTGAGGAGGTTGTGGAGGCGAACATGTTTGGGTTGTAGGGGTGTTGTTGGGTTGTGGAGGTGGTGTAGTAATGGTTGGGGGCTGAAGGATGGACTTGCATTGAAACTGTTGTTTGTTGAAGAGGAGTAGCTGAGAGCGAGAAAGAAGAAGAGGGCGAGTGCGGGTGCGAGAGTTTATATACTATGAGAAAGAATCGTTTGCTTTGCGTTTGTTGTGATTTGCGATGATGATGATGATGATTGATGATGATACTGAAAGATAATGAAATAAGAAAAAAAAGTGGGAAGGGGAAAGGGGTGGCGATCTTATATAGATGCAAATGAACAAGTCGACGGAGTGGATTGTCCTCGTGGGTTTCTGCTTGTTTTGCGTTTGTTGCAAGGGTACGGAAGGTTCAAGGTCAATTGAATTGGGGTGGGTTTTTGCTTTAATAACCGCTGGGAAAAGTATGGGATGGACAGACATTGTGTATGTGCGTGCTTTGCCCTTTTTTCTGTTTGTTCTTGTCCCACAAAAAGAAAAATAGACGCACGTTCATTCGCTGGAACATCATTTTTGAATTGAATCGATATCAGTTATTGTTCTCTCTAATAATAAATGAGAGGAGGTAGCACTGACAACACCTCTCTACTCTTCTCTCCCTTCCACGCGCAGTTGAAAAATTATACTTCGTATTCAATCTTCTCTCTCCGTCTCTGTGCTCTCCTTTTTTTTCCCTCTCCTCCGTCTGTTTACACACAAACAAACACCTTCTCTCTCTGTTGCTGAGACCCAATGACACAAAAAACTCTTGGCACTCTTGGCAAACTAAAAAATGCCAAGACTTTCGACGATTGCGCTCTTTTCTCTCCCTTCCATGTCTACTTGGCTTCCTGACCCGTGCAACTCATTCGCATACACCGGATAGATACTCCCTTTTACTCACACTACACTCTATCACTGTGTGTGCGACCCAATATCGGATGCAGAGGCCGAAAGCAAAAAAAAATCCGATTCCCTCATTCATCTCCCCTTTCCCCCTTCCCCTCTGACTCTCATTCATATTAAGGCCATTACAGAAACAAACATAACGGGCACACAACGTTATGAAGAGTGAGGGGAGAGAGAGTACACTTGTTGGTTGCATGTCCTCTTGCCACGATTCGTCGAAAATGAAGTGGGATGGGATAAAAGCATGGGCTTTGAATACAAAGAAAGGAAGAAAAAAGATGAGATATCCGTTATTGCACATGGCGTGGATCCACTTCTCGATTCCTTGATTTTCATCGGAACAAACGGAAAGAGAGCAAAGAGAGGAAAAATATAACCCCATCCTTCCTTTATTCCTTCAAACCGGTCTGGCTGAGTGCCCTGACTGACAAGAATGACAGAGAAGGCGACGGACAAATATCTCGTTGTCAACCATGGATGGACCCACTTTCTTCCTTTTGATTTTTTCCAGCAGTGGCTCGTAAAAAATGATCTCCCGTTCAACCCACCAACCCTTTTCTTTTTTCTCATATACCTCGTTACCTCGGACATCACAAACACCCCTTTGTCTTGGCCATTATCGCCTGAACTTCGCAATTACTCCTTCTGCGTCTCCTTTTTTTTATGCCATTCTGCGTGTGCGTTGCGTGTGCGTCTGATTCATCATCAAACACGACAAAAAAAGAATTTCGCAGGGACAACAACGAAGAAGGCAAAAGAAGGGCATGAATTATTTTCTTGCGTGTCCATCTGTATTTCATCTCTCTGTCAAGGTAACTTTGGTACCCACTCCATCCCCTAGAGTACTCCAGCTTCCCTCCTCTCTTACAACCTTCCTTCTAAGAAGGAAGAATAAGTAGAAGACGGGGCCTATGTAGATCGGAGCCATTCTCTTGGTGTTCCTTCAATCAATCAATCAATCAATAATCAACAACATCACACCTTAGACCAAGTCCGATCTGGCAGCTCTTCCTGATCGCATCATGGAAATTGAATAAAAAAAAGGCAGCGCTCAAGTGCAATAGTCTTCGGACCACCAATTGCATGTCTTTTCCCCTAATTTTATTTATTGAGGCAGTCTGTGGGGAGCTGATATGAGAGTGGCGTATAAGAGGGGCGGTGTTGAGGTGGTAGTTGATAGGAAAGAGTGATGAGCGAAGGTGTGTGTGTTGTGCTCACAGAGCCTCATTCAATAGACGACGACTCTGTTTTTAATTCTGTTGTTCATCAACTACTGACAGCAGCGCCTGATCGTGGCTAAGCTCATGTGTCTTCTTTTCTCCTTTTCATTAATTGAATTGAAATAAATACAACAAAACACTGAAAGACAACAAACTAACCAAAAAAAAAAACGCCCTTTCGGAACAACATCAATGCCTTCTCCCGTCTCTCTCGTGCCCTTTCTTCTCACCCTTCCATTGTCGCCCTGTCCCCCTTTCCCACAAACTAAACGATAACGACATACCATGATCAATTCGCTCGCTGCCTCCTCACTTTGGCCATGCCAAGAAAAACAACAGCGCAACGCCATCTTTGCCTGTCTTTTCTCTCCCCTTACATGTCTGTCATCCCTATGCTGTCCTTCTGTTTGTTGCGCGGCCATCACACACAATCATGCGATGGGATATATGCTATTTTTTTCTTTTTTGCACTCTTTTCTTATCCTCCTCCTCTTCTTGCTCCTCCTCCTCCTTCTCCTCCTCCTCCTAGTCGACCCCTCCTGTAATTCTACTGCCTCCCTTCTTGTACATGCACCATCAATGCTCAACTCACCAACAAACCAACTAACTGACTGACTGAGTGAACTGACAGATGGACAGGCAAGACTGACTTGTGAATGCTCTGATTTCTTGTGCGACACAACACTGATTCTGGTTGGACGCCCGCCACAGTTTTCTCTTAATCTTCCTCTTTTGTTTACGCCCGCAAATGCTCGTCTTTCATCTCTCCCTTCCATCAAGTGTCGGTGGGTATCCCTTTGTTTATGTCAGAGCAAAAACGTCGAGAAGCTTGGCATTTTTCAGAAAGGAGTAAGAAAGAGGGACAGGGGCGCTCATCATTTTGCTTGGCAGAGACTTGGCACACGGAGCTTGGCAACGGTCAGTTGGCATACGATTATGAGGTTTGGAAGTGATGATTTGCTCGGTTGCCATCCGGCCCTTCTGCCCCCCCCCCCCTTTTCCTTGCCCTTCACCCACTCTTGCATACGATTCACACGCAATTTATTCTCACCCTATCATATTTCATCAAAAAAACAAAATTTCATTATCTTGCATTCCTCCCTCTCCGAGGAGAAAAACAATGACTCGTGGGGGGAAAATGAGAGGGAAGATAGTTCGGGGTGTGGAAGAGGGAGCCATCTTCCTCTCCGATTTCCTTTTTTCTTCGTACAAGTCTTGAGTGCAGCACAAACAGAACGAATGAAAAATATGACGAACTTGAGACCGCAAAAAAAAAAGTAGGTAAACGGAAGGGGAGCACTTCTTGGGGAGAGAAGCAGATCCTTACTTGGAGACCATAGGACTACTTTTCCTGCATAGTGCGAAGCCAATGAAGGGAGGGAAAGGGAAGAAGGGATTGACACTATTGCTCTGACATGTTTTCGTTATTATGGTCAGGATTAGAAAAATCGACACAGCGAATGCCCCAAATGCAGAAAGGAATTGGGTCATCACCCTTTTCATTTCCACAATAATAAGTGCATAATCGCCATCAACGCTCCCAACACCGTGTGGACTACAAATAATGCAGTTGAAGGGGTGGTAAGGGGGCCACCCAAATGGAGGAGAGTAGCTAGAACAAGAAACTACAAGATCCGATTTATCCACACGAACAGGAAGAGAGGGCGAAATGAAGCAAAAATAAAGCAATGGGAGAGTGATTCCAGTGTGGCTAGCGGGAGTTTTGGGGATTCGGTGGAAACGGTCCATCAAACAGAGACAAACGCAAAATAAGACGAGACGATTGTGTCTCTGTGGGTAATTGTGCCATGGTGAAGAAAAACGGAAGGAAATAATCGTGGCTGAAGACCCCTCTGACCTCACCGCCACAATTCTCTTTGTCAATTGAGGAAGGAAAAAAACAATCAGAAGGACGCGAAGGAAATCAACATTACGCCCGTACACAGCATGAGAAACAACCGACAGTTGTTGTAGTCCAAGCTAAAGAAGGAAGAAACAAAACTAGTTTCTCGATGATTTGCGCATTCCTTAGACTCGATCTGATCGCTTAGTTGCTCCGGGGAGTACGATATACTAGAAAAGATGACCAAATGGATAAACGAGGATAACAGCATTTTAGGATGTACAGTACACAAAGCAAAAACATGGCGAGCACGAAGTGACAGGGAAGTAAAAAGTCGATTAGGTTGCAAGGGAATGCTTACACTTCCTTTCTGTAACCTTTAACCTCCTCGGTACTTTTGTTTTGCTCTGTATAAAGGAAGTTTGCCCCTTGTTCTCGTCATGTCAATGTTCCGCGAACAACGGTGGTGAAAAGTTGACAAGGGCATCAAACGCGATCGCTCACTATGGCTTCTAGGCATTAGTCGTCAACAGCAAACAGCCGCTTCGTCTTCCCTCCCCTACTTCTCCGAATCGCTGTTGTTACCTCTGACGTAAAGGCAAGGACTAACTTACTATTCGGTGCCATGACCGCCCATAACCTCCTTGTTCACTCTCTCCTAGCCACCAGTTCTCAACCATCGGTGGTACCTCCAGACGTCGACTTTTATCTTCTTCTTTCTTTCTTCCCCTCGTTCCTCCCCCGACGTTTGATAGGAGTCACAGCCGGAGTCACAGCCGGAGCGGAAGAAGGAACCGACAAACAGGAGATCGGACAAACGGCGATTGAGAAGAGTAACAACAACGAACGATAGCCATGATACACTCACGCCTATCTGCATACGGACAGGCAGGCAGAGTAGGATTATGTATCAAGAACAGGACGTCTCAGTTGCGCCATTACCCCATTACCCCATTACAGCGGCGATGCATCTCCCTTTTTCCTCCTCCCATACCGTCGCTCCGTCGACTTGCTACCTCAAGATTATTCTCCTTCCCTCCCACTCAGTCGCAAAAAAACAGAGCACATGGTTGTATCACTCGATGATTTGCCTTTTGTTGTCAGAGAAGCAACACTGCCCACACTAGCATCTTTTACTTTTTTTACTGCAGAAGCATGCGTGTCTGCCTCCCTCTGTCCCTCCTACTCCTTCCTGCAGCATTTTTTCCCGTGCATTCCTCTCTCCTTTTGCGCCTAAACAAAATGGGCAAAATAACCGACGATCTTAACTTCTCCCTCTTTTCTGCTCCTTCAACTCCATTCTGAAAATAGATGACAGCACGACAGGATAGACCACGCCGGATCTAATTCCTTTCATCCTCTTTCGGTCATCATTTCTCCGTCTCCTTTTGTCCTCGAAAATCTTTTGTCCTGCGGCCGCAGCCCGCCTCCTTACACCTCCCTTCAGCCACAGTGGGCGGAGTGAGCGGAGAGCCTATCGCGATCATAGTTTGCTTTTAATTGTTGTTCTTATTACATTGTTGGTTTTGTTTGTGTCTGTAGAAAACACGTACAGGACGAGCTGGACGCCCTTTTGCGACAAAAGAATCATTCTTTTACAACCAACACCAACCAGGGTTTGCTTTATTACTCAAGAAAAACAACAGCCTTGTGATAACGAAGATTGAAAAAGGAAGTGGGGTTCATGATGATGAAGCACTCTCGATTACTCCTCGGAGTTTTCGGTCAGAATGCCAACAAAAAGTAAAGGTGGCGGGACAAAGGACAAAGTGGGACCGGCTTTATGAGTCTGTCGCGACAAGGGAGATGAGCGCCCTTCAAAAATCAGAAGCCGCTCCGGTCCTTACCCTACAGCCTGTATCGTATCAATTCACTCACTCTCACTCTCGCTCCTTCTGCTAGCCTTGGTTATGTTATTTTGCAAGTCGGGATTGGTGAGAGGTGAGGCAACCAAGAGGAAGTACTTCTTGGTTAATTGCAATTTCCGTTCGGGGGGGGGGGGGGGGTGGGTCGTGTTTGAAGTGGAGTTTAATAGACGGAGTATGAGGGAGAGATAAGTGGCGGCTTGGGCGTAGGGCCAGATCGAGACCGGTGTGTAGCGGTTCGGCCTGTAGTTCGGGGCAAATAATAACGACAAACCGAAGAGCGTTTTTGATTCAAGTAACTGCAAATTGTGAAGATACAGAGGATGGTATTGGGGAGAGAAGCAACACCGAGGGTTTTTTTACTTCTTCGGCTTACCTTTGTTATTATCTTTTTTCTCGCGCACTTCTCTTTGAACAGCAGTCCTTCTTGTTTTCCTTTTTCGATCCTCAGTATCTGCCTCTAACACCAACAATACAGCTCCCTCACCATCGCAAGATCAGGCTCAACGGCTCAACAGCCTCATCCTTCTCTCCACTTTTGATGGTACAACCCGCCGAGGACCGTCAGACCCACGGCATTCTTGACCTCTTGAGCTGCCCTTTCGAACTATCGCCAGGCTTCCTCAAGGTTCCGTGCGAACCCTTGACCCCTGCAGTATGGTGTTCCGAGGCTCACCTGTCCCATCGTGTATCCTTGCTCAGCTGACCTGAGGAACCATTCGACAGCCTTGATGGAGCCCTAGGGGACACCGTCACCGTCCTTGTAGGGATTCCCAAGACTGAACTGGGCGCTCGTATAGCCTTGTTCGGCCGCCATCCGGTACCCCTCACTTGCCCTCACATCATCCTTAGGTACGCCCTCACCAAAAAGGTACATATCTCCAATATTACCTAGGGCCGGAGGGACGTTCTTCTCGGCCGCCTTCAGGCTCCAATTCATTATCCTGTCGAAGTTCATATCAGCACACCCTTCAGACTTGTAGGTCACCTCCGTCATGCACTCAGCCTCGACCAACCCTCGCCCGGTCGCCTTCAACATCCACTTCAATAGTCGCCTATATTTTTTGTGGACTGCGTTCTTGCCTCTGGGGATCGACCTTGATATGCGCCATGGCATTGCTTTGTTCCGCGGACGTGAGGTGGCATTCAAAGGGTGGGGCATCGTCTTGTGGCACGCCAAAACCTGAGTGGAAGAGGTATCCGATCTTGAGTTGGGCTTTTGCGTTGTTGTCTTGAGCAGCGACTTTTTGGTACCATTCCATGGCTAATCTGTAATCCTGTTCGACGCCTCCAGTGTTATCACAGTACATGTCGCCTAGCTCCGCTTGTGCTACTGCAATGCCGGAATTGGCCTTGAGGATCATTTCGTCGAGATTGACGGCGAGCGTGGCGGGCGGTGTGGTGGAAGTGATGTATGGTGGAGGGGATAGTGGTGGTGGGATGGAAGAGAGAGTGCCTCACTGAATGATGATGTGTTGATTGGTGTTGTCGTCGTAGTTGTTGATCCATCTATCTATACGATTGTTTCTGTGAACTTTGTGATGGGCGAGTTCTCTTGGGTTATGTTGCAACTAAGGGAAAGGGAGTAAAAACGGTTGTTGAGGATGAAGATGGGAGAGGTTGAGCTGTGGGTGTGGTTGCTGTTTGGCAAGTGAGTAGAAGGCAAAGAAGAAAAACGTGGCACAGCCTATTTTTTATTTCAGGTACGATCACTGGCACAGTGACAAAAACGCCCGTCTGATCGACATTTCTTTTTCCCGCCGTGGACCCTGCGAAGGTGGATAAAAGATAAAGAGAAGGTTGGAAGAGAAGTAGAGAAGAAAAGAGGGACGGTTACTCTTGAGAGCAAAATGACATCGGTTGAACCTTTTTCCGACGTTGCTCATCGGCAAAAACTTTGGTCGTTGTTGTTTTCCTGATGTTCTTTCTTGGGCAACAAACACAAACATGCGGATAAAAAAAATGCAATAAAACTAATCGCACTCATATTAGTCAATGGGTTTATTCATCGAGCAAGTAAGCCTTGAAAGCCTTAGGTCGAGCCGGAGAAGTGTTCAAATATTGTGCAAAGATAAACGGCAGGATGGCCTGGAAGACAAGGGTGATGCTATCAGGATTGCCAATGTCGATTATCCTGGGCAATGACATGTCATCGGTTCCCATGATAGTCTCAGTTCTGTTTTCCTGATCTCTGGACCATCAATGCCAGCCTCGCTTGCTTTCACCAGTTAATTAATGTGGGAAGTATGGGGTCTGTTGTCAACGAGAAGAAAAGAGTTGTTTTAGTATTTCACACCACTGGAGTGATATTCAACCACGGAGGTGATAGCTAATCCCGGAGGTGGCAAGTAATCACGGAGATGATGATTATTATAAATAATCACGGAGGTGGTAGTTGAGCAGCGACCATCTGCCATGTGGTGATGTGGTCGCTAGCAGCACTTCGTTAAATATAAAGACGGGGTAAAATAGTAATAAAAACCCTGTACCGCAACAAATGCTTGTAGGGGTAGCAGACCTTGACCTCGCCGCCTTTGGGTCAGTTGCCGTTTCCGTGTGATGCTGCGAGGTATCTTTTGATGGCTGCGAGACAGACGGCAATACGAAAGATCTAGCCGCCATCTTCCAAAGAAGACCCAAGGCGACTGTGTTGTACATGGTGTGTTGCTGTGGGACGTAGTGATGATAAGAAAGTAAGGAAGAAGTAAAGGAGAAGAAAAGGGTAAGGAAATACTATAAAATTGTACCCGAGTCTTCTTTCTTTTGGAGTTGCAAGGTACGGTTATGAATGACTATTGATTGCAAGTTGTGTGTCATGAGCATGCTGATTTGCCTCGTTTGTTGAAGCAACCTGTTGTCATTCTATCACACATCTCCCACTCTTTTTCGTGGTTCCTAGAAAAGTACGCTCTATGTGCAATCTCGCTTTCTGTTTTCAACATACAAAATGCATTCGGCATCTACAAGTTTCGCACTTTAGTTCCTTTTAATATACATGGTCGGGCGTGTGGGGAGAGTCAGTTAGGATCTCTTCTTCAATGCCTCGAAACGCCGGGTGAGAGCATCTAAATCCGGCAAACCATCGCTTTCGGTCGAAGGAGGCGAAGCAAGCGACGATAAATCGTCAGCTGAGCTCTTGCTGGGCTGAGTCGGTGGGGGGACTGCTTTGATTGGCACTGCTGGTTTTGAGACCGACTCTGACAAGTTCGAAAGATCGTTAAGAAGATCCATCCTATCGCTGTCCTGTTCCATGGGTTGAACCTAAGGCATTATTTTGTTAAAGCAGGTTCATATTAGCGTCAACGTTCCAAAAAAAAATTCCGAAGAAATTAAGACATTTCGCCACAACGGTTGTCAACAGTTCATACCTTGGCAGCTGGTTTTTGTTGTACGCGAGGACGTCCAGGTTGTTCGACGGAGTGATTGAGCGGGTCAATAAACTCGCCATCCATGCTCTACAAGAGTGTTTAACCAGTCATGTGGAATGAGGTGCGCAATGGTATGTTAGTAACCATGCCTTCAGGTTCATAAAGTACCTCTCGATTGCCGTGCACAAGCAAAGTGTCTTGTGCCAGATACATACCCCAATTAGTTGATGATCCATCTCTGGGTCGGGCGACCAAGCAACTTTAAAGGTCCTTGCGATTTCTTCCAGATACCGGTTCACGAGATAAGGGTCTGGAGTTTGCACTTTCAGCTTTTGAATAATCTATTCAATTGGACAACAGTGACGAGGTATAGGTGAGTTCTCTCCACAACGACGCATCTTCCTTCTGCCGTTGTTTCATGGCAAAATCAAAGAAAGGTGCGTACCCTTGGGTTGACGGACTCATCTTTGTTCTCCATGGCGTTAGTCACAAAGTCTCGGCCAAACTTGGCTGCCAACTGATCCCTGACTAGCAAGAGTTCCTTGACTTCAGAGCGCGGTGCGGCATAAATGACCGTATTGACAGCTTCTGTAATGGCGGGGTCGCACGTTCTAGGTGAAGGAGGATATGGCAGCACCCAGTCAGACCAGTCAGACATGTCGTCGTTCACGCGATTTTGGATGCCTGGATAGAATGGCTTACGAGAAGTCGAAGACTTACTTCAATTGTTCCAACAGTCCAAAGCGCGCCAGAAGCAACTCACAATAGAGCTCGATAATCTCCAGTGCCTCACTGCTAAAGTCCTCGCGAATAATATGCTCCACCTGGTTTTGAGGGTAGTCAGCAAAGGAAGGTAGTGAGGAGAGACAGTCAACATTCAACGCGCATCAAGACATTTCCTTCCAAAAGCTGCGGTATTTGTATCAGCTGTGTCCGCCATGTGCGTACCCGAATGCGGGCGCTTTCTTCCTTGCCAATCTCGAGCAGCCTTGCGATTTCCTTCCGCTGTTGTTGGGCGAGCATGTTCTTCTTGTTTTGTAACATCTGGAGTCGGTTGACGGACAGCTTGAGCTGCACCTTTGCGCGAGTAGGGTTGAACATAGTGAAGTCCTTGGCTGTTCCTGACTGGGTTGTATGAATGAAGAGTGCTGGTCGTGCGTTTTTCAGAGACCTATTTGGCGTTGATGCACATCGCACGTGACTATGACTGACGTCACCCTCGACTCGACGCGCGTGGGCCTTTACTATGGAGAGTGATCACCTCTTCTTTCTTTTCTTCCAAATAACTCACATTCCTTGACCTGCTTACAACTCTCTCTCTCTCTCTCTCTCTCTCTCTCTCTCTCTCTCTCTCTCTCTCTCTCTCTCTCTCACATACCACAACATCATCGACGTACCCGTTGCCAGCACCCGCCTATTGTCAACCTCCACCAACCAACCAGCACCACCAATTATAAACACTCACACACATACTAATGGAGCGACTTCAGCGCGTCTTTCAGGCTTCCCAAGGCCCCGAACCCGGCCAGGACAACCCCACCGCCGACAACTCTGAAATGGTCTACATCTCCTCGCTTTCGCTCCTCAAGGTATAAAAAAAACCTCCAACTCAGGTCAACAATGCACACAGACGCAAATATGCGCCAAGTCTCTTGCAAGTGACGTAAACGAACAACTAATTTACTTTCCTCCTCACCCCATTGTCCAAGTAGATGTTGAAGCACGGTATGTTGACCGACCTTATGTCTATGTTTGACAGCGACGGTGCAAGTGGAATACTGAATCAATCGAGTCTTGCATGCTGAACCTTTATCCTTTTTTCTGGACGCCCTTAGGTCGCGCTGGTGTTCCTATGGAAGTCATGGGCTTGATGTTGGGCGAATTTGTGGACGACTACACTGTTCGCGTGATCGATGTCTTTGCTATGCCCCAGAGTGGAACCGGGGTTTCCGTCGAGGCTGTTGACCCCGTTTTCCAGACAAAGATGTTGGACATGTTGAAGCAAACCGGAAGGTGTGTGGCCAGAGTTGAGCGCTCTTCTGCCATCGAAAAATATCGAAGCATGCTTACCATGTGTTTTTCACAATACCTAACAGCCAATGTGACCTCTTGCTTTTAGGCCCGAGATGGTTGTCGGATGGTACCACTCACATCCCGGATTTGGATGCTGGCTATCAAGTGTCGATGTCAACACCCAGCAGAGTTTCGAACAACTTAACCCCAGAGCCGTCGCTGTTGTAGTGGATCCCATCCAGTCCGTCAAGGGCAAAGTTGTTATTGATGCCTTCCGTCTGATCAACCCCCAGACGGCTGCTGTTGGAAACGAGCCCCGCCAAACGACTTCAAACATTGGACATTTGAACAAGCCCAGTATCCAGGCTTTGATCCACGGACTGAACCGCCATTACTACTCGATCGCCATCAATTACCGAAAGAATGAGCTGGAGCAAAAGATGTTGCTCAACCTGCACAAGAAGAACTGGACCTCGGGATTGACACTTACCAACTTCCACGAGCACACAGAAGATAACGAGAAGGCTGTTAAGGTACACAACCCTCTCCTTCATTCATTATGCGGATATGCTTGTTGACGTTGCGAATTATGAATCTTTTTCATTAACCGTGTCTAACCCCACGTACGTTACCTTCCGAATCCTGTGATAACGATCCATAGACCATGTTGTCGCTGGCAGAGGCATACAACAAGTCTGTCCAGGAAGAATACACGTTAACGGCAGAGCAGCTCAAGACTCGCCACGTAGGCAAGGAGGACCCCAAGAGGCATTTGGAGGCCAACGTCGAGGAAGTGATGTCCAATAACATTGTTGTTGCCCTCGGCACAATGCTGGACTCTGTCAGTTTCTAGACTGCACGTCAGATCGCTGCGGATAGCCTCTTGTTGGAGATCCCTCCGCTGTAGAAAGCTGCGAGAAGAATTAAAAAAAATTACAAGTCTATGCATTTTGCTTTTATTGTTGTCAAAGTTGGTGTTGACGTAATTCCGCCTTCTCCTCGTTGCCCAAGGGGTTGTATGATATTCAAGCGGTAGCAATGAAGGCCTAGCAAAGAAAAATGAAAAGAGTCAGCATGTGGAAAAATGAACGAGTTGAAGTGTGTAAAGTAAAACATAGAAGACATAGAACAATCAAGTAATAAAAATAATCGACATACGTTCTGGGCCTTCTGGACGAGCTCCTTGAACTCCTGGACCTCAGCCCAGCAGTCCAACGAGCGGTCCTGGTTTTTTCTGTAGCATTGAACAAGAGCATCTTGAGCCTTGGTGATCTCCTCAGGGAGGACCTTGACCTGTTTTGCAGGAGTCTTTCTCGCCAAATGCTCCATCTCCTGCGCTGTCATGACAGCGTTGGCGTTTGTGCTGGACTTGTAATTGACAAAGGTTGAATCAATAGCGGCATCCTTCTCGGCCTGAATCTTGGCCAGCTCGGCTTGGACACGCTGACGGACCTCTCTCTCAATATCCTCGGGGCTTCCTGCGGCCGTCTATGGGGGACGGAAACAAAGTTTGCACCGATTTATATGTATTAGCTTTTTCCATAGGGGTTTTCTCCTTTTCGTGTGAAACAAAAAGAAAAGGTAAACACTGTACCTGGCTGGCCGAGATCTGGTTAACGAACGCGGATGAGACCTGGATTAGAGTCACATGGAATGAAAAGAGGAGAGGACGAGAAAAAAAACACCTTTCTAATCAGCAACCTTTCCTTTCTCCATGCCCGCGAATTTCAAAGGGCTTGCTGTTCCTTTTCGCTTCCGAATCCTCTTCGCATCAGCTATTCTCTCCCTCCTTCGTTGGTGTTCTCAGAGATCATGGACTCCCGCTCCTGTTCTTGCTCCTGTTCATGCTCCTGCTCCAGTTCCTGTCCCTGAGGTGTCAAAAAAGAGCCCTTTATGGGTACGAAAACAAGTTCCCGAAGCGTCACCGCTGTTGAATGAGCAAATTACCCTGACGGGGACAGGGTCCTCCTCGTTGACAAAGACCATGGGTGGTGCGTCGCCCTTTGACTGTGAAGATCCCATGTTAAAAGAGTGGAGAGGTATAAGTGTGTGAGTGTGTGTGTGTGTTGGTCATGTCGGAACCACCCTACTACTGTTACTCAACCGATTAACTGTTCTCCGGAATATCATTTAGGCCTGGAAATACTGCCCGAGTGGAAATAACGGATCCTGCCGTTTCGAGCACGAGCCAGATCAAGCGAGAATATTCCAGCCAAGCCACCCGTGAAAAATCATTCTGAATGATGTCAATGGTTTCAAGCGCGTGTACATGCCTATGCGCATAAAAGGAGTTCCACCCTCCGCCCTTCTAGTAACTTTTTTTCCTGCAAGTATCTACTATTCCTCTCGTTGTTCCATCTTTCCCACCAATACAAAACACCAACAGCGTTTCTTCTTCATTCTCCTCTTTCTCCTTCTTCATTCTTCTCTTTCTCCTTCTTCATTCTTCTCTTTCTCCTTCTTCCTCCTCCTTCTACATCTTCCACCGTCCACTCAACAATTCAGCACACATCATAATGAACAATTTTCAGTTCACAGAAAAGACCGAAAAAACCATCGGGCAGGCTCAAGAGCTTGCCCGAGAGTTCTCCAACTCACAGATAACACCCGCCCACTTTGTCAACGCTATGATGGATGAGACAGATGAGGGGCCAGGCTCCTCGCTCCTCAAATCTATCCTCAACAAGGCCGGCGCCATCCCCGAGGAAATCGAGCGCGCCTTCAAGAAGCTGCTCGTCCGCCTGCCCACTCAGAACCCCGCCCCGATCGACATTTCCTTCTCGCCCCAGGCCTTCCAGATCCTCCGCAAGGCGCAGGAGCACCAGAAGAAACAAAAGGACTCGTTCATCTCTATCGACCACGTCATCCTCGCGCTGATGGATGACGCGCCCACGTGGAAGGTCTTTACCGATAATGGTGTCACCAAGACTGCGTTCGAAAACGCGATTTCCCAGATCCGCGGTAACCGCAAGGTCGAGAGCAAGAACGCCGAGGCTGGATATGAGGCCCTGTCCAAGTATGCAATTGACATGGTTTCACTGGCGGAACAGGACAAGCTCGATCCCGTCATTGGACGAGACGACGAGATCAGGAGAGTCATCCGTGTTCTCTCCCGACGCACAAAGAACAATCCCGTCTTGATTGGGTAAGCTATTTTATCCTGTTTGTATATGTATCCATGTCTGTTGAGTGTGCTTGTTGTTATCATGGTTGTATTTTCCCGCCATGCTCAACCATCCTTCCCGCGTCTCCCACGGACGACAAGGAAAAGAAGAAAAAGAAAAAGAAAAAGGTCACAAAGAAATAAAAGTCAAAAATCCCGCAGCCGTAGACAGTCCACTAACTTCTTTTTTTTATTGTTGCTAATCTGTTCTGTCATCGTCTAGTGAACCAGGTGTTGGTAAAACCGCCGTTGTCGAAGGACTCGCCCAGCGTATCGTCCGCAAAGACGTACCCGTCAGTCTCCAGTGCAGACTCTTCTCCCTCGACATGGGTGCTCTCATCGCAGGCGCAAAGTACCGTGGAGAGTTTGAGGAGCGTCTCAAGGCCGTCCTCAAGGAGGTCAAAGAATCCGAACAAGGCATCATCCTCTTCATTGACGAGATCCACCTTGTCCTCGGCGCAGGCAAGGCCGATGGTGCCATGGATGCCGCCAACCTTCTCAAGCCCATGCTCGCTCGTGGCGAGCTCCGGTGCATCGGTGCGACCACCCTAGATGAATACCGCCAGCATGTCGAAAAGGACCCCGCCTTTGAGCGTCGATTCCAGCAGGTCTTTGTCGGCGAGCCGTCTTTGAATGACACCATAAGTATTTTGCGCGGTCTCAAGGAGCGCTATGAAGTCCACCACGGAGTCAAGGTTGCTGACGCAGCTCTCGTCACGGCAGCGACCTTGGCCCATCGATACATCACCAATCGTTTCCTGCCCGACAAGGCCATCGATCTTATGGACGAGGCTTGTGCGAACACCCGTGTCCAGCTCGACTCTCAACCCGAGTTGATCGACCAGCTCGAGCGACGTCACTTGCAACTGGAGGTTGAAGCAACAGCCATGGGCAAGGAAAAGGATCCAGCATCACAGCAACGCTTAATCAAGGTCCGCGAGGAAATGTCCCGTATCTCGGAGGAACTTAAGCCATTGAAACTCAAGTACGAGCTTGACAAGGGCCGCATCAACGAAGTCCGCGACCTGAACCAGAAACTGCAGGATCTCAAGAACAAGGCAGAGGAAGCTGAGCGACACTACGACCTGGCCAAGGCTGCCGACATCCGGTACTACGCAATCCCAGACCTAGAAAAGAAGATCGCCACGGTGGCAGCAGAGAGGGCACGTCAGGAGGCGGAGCAGTTGCTGGCCGCCGCGAACGGAACAAAGATCGAAAGTGCCGAGCTGGTGACCGAGGTGGTTGGCCCCGAGCAGATTACAGAGGTCGTCTCCCGCTGGACCGGCATCCCCGTCCAGAGGTTGAACAAGTCCCAAGTCGAACGGTTGCTCCAACTGGGCGATCGACTCAAGGAGCGTGTCGTTGGTCAAGAAGATGCCGTCGAGGCCGTTGCGGAAGCAGTCCTGCGATCCCGCGCTGGTATGGCCAAGGAGCACGCCCCCTTGGGGTCCTTTCTGTTTTTAGGACCCACTGGTGTCGGCAAGACTGAGCTTGCCAAGGCTCTGGCCCACGAACTCTTTGACGACGAGAACATGATGGTCCGCATCGACATGTCCGAGTACATGGAGTCACATTCAGTTGCGCGACTAATCGGTGCCCCCCCCGGATATGTTGGACACGACGAAGGCGGCCAGCTGACGGAGGCGATTCGCCGTCGTCCCTACAGTGTGGTCTTGTTCGATGAGATCGAGAAGGCAGATGTCAAGGTCTTGAACGTTCTCCTGCAGGTTCTAGACGATGGTCGCCTGACAGACTCGAAGGGCCGTGTCGTTGACTTTTCCAACACGGTCATCATCATGACTTCGAACGTGGGCTACATGCACCTTCAAGATGTAGGCAACACTGGCATTACCGAGCAGGTGCGCGAGGCGGTGATGCGCGATGTCCGAGCACACTTCCGGCCCGAGTTCCTGAACCGTCTGGACGACTTGATCGTGTTTGCACCGTTGGGTACGGATAACCTTGGCAAGATTATCAGGAACCAGCTGGCAGTGATTGGCAAACGCCTGGAGTCGAAGAACATTACGTTGCACATCACTGACGGTGCTTGCCAGAAGGTACTCAACGAAGCGTTCGATCCTCGGTACGGTGGTCGACCATTGAAGCGGTTCTTGGAGAAGCAGGTTGTGACGAAGGTGTCTCGACTGTTGCTGACGGGCGAGTTGACCGAGTATCAAACCGTTCTTGTGGATGTGGACTCTCGTGGCGACCTGGTTTTCAATGTCAGCAAAGCAGGAGGGGTGAACGAAGGTGATGCGATGAATTTGGACTGACTAGGCCGCACTGGAGGGGAGGATGATGGCGAGACTGGGGAGGGATATGGGTACGAGAATGAGCTCAAGCAGGACCAGATGAACGAGTCGCGCCATGGTATCAAACGACAAGGCCTTCGAGAACAAGAAATGCCTTCCAAGGCCGCCCGCCGTCGACCATAGTTACTTCATTGCAAAAAATAAATCGAAAATGTACAAACCGTTCAAAGACAACGTGGTGTTTCCGTACAAAAGCCTTAATCGATAATATTTTCCAGGAGAAAGACCAAGAAGCACCTAAAGAGGCGAGATAAGAAGGATGGAAGCAGATGATGGTAGAGAAAGTCAAAACGAAAACAAAAGGGATAAGAAGACACATGGGCGAGGAAGGAGGGGGGTGGGGGCGAGAGAGAGAGAGAGAGGGAGATAGAGAGAGAGAGAGGCGAAGAAGGCTGGGTTGAGCTTAAAGGGATGAAAGAAGTGGAGTAACAGGCGTGAAAGGGTCAAAGAGTGCAGGGAAGATAACTAGAGAAAAAAAAGGAATGAGTGCATGTACATGAGGCCAACCATACTTTTGATTCTTGATGCAATCTATGAACCGAAGACCCTTACTGTAGATATTACGGTGGCCTCCTTTACGCTTGACCCCTCAGGTCCAACGCCGGAGTAAACCGCCTGACTCCCGAGGAAGGGATAAAGCGAGATGGAGGAAAATATAAATGGAAAAGGGTCAGGCATTGCAATGCATCTTTTTTGTGGTGAATAAGAAATAAGTGACCCAGAGGGAAAGTGACCTTTTGAAAAGGTCAGTGTCCTTATTTCATGGACGCAGGCCATGCGATTAAGCTGCGTCTTTCTTCCGGCATGTGACTTGAAGTGCCTGGAGATCATAATATATCACGTGATCCTTCTGTGAACCAATCACATTCGGCCCCTGCCTAGGTGGATATGTTGGAGGGTCAGATCAGTCATTCTGGATACCATGTCCCTAGGAAAGTACTTTAGGATGATGTTTCTCGCCGGTGCCTACTAATAGTTTATTGTTAAAACACCTCCTACGGATATGGTTATGTAGTTTTTAAAAGAAAATAAGATTTCTTGGGTTTGATATTATCAAAAGATGGGGTATAGACGCGTGAAGATGTCGCCTAAACAACAACAATAAATCATTGTTGTCGTTTTTTGTACTTGCGTTTTTTCGACTTGAAAAAGTCGTTTTTGACTCTTGTCCATTAATGTGGATTTGTAGTAGTTGATCTTAGGAACTCGCTAGTACAGTTTTCAAAGAGATTGGCTGTGAATTGGCTGAGAAAATGATGAAAGAAACTTCCAGCGCTTCAAAAAATCCGTCTTAGTGGACAACTTTTTGATTGTACCGTGTAATAGTCAAGTTATTTTGTTGTTTTCTACATGAATGATAGCTATGGGTCAAAGGATTAGAATAAGGTCCTTAACAAGAATAATGTGTGTCTTTTGGTGCGATGGAAAGGAAAAAAGTAGGTGAGTATGCATGGAAAGGTTTGATTCTGTACGCTACTGTTCGTCTCAGGTATTCCTCAACTGTAATACTCGTTTAATATGTGAGATACAAGAGAAAGAAAAACAAGATAAAGTAGAGAGAGAGAGAGAGAACAGAGAGAGAGAGAGAGAGAGAGAGAGAGAACAGAGAGAGAGAGAGAGAGAGAGAGAGAGAGAGAGAGAGAAAGAGAGAGAGAGAGAGAGAGAACAGAGAGAGAGAAAGGGAGAATGGAGATAAAGGTAAACCAATCTGCGCATCTACTCATGCTATAAAAAAAAGAATATGTATAATACGTGTTTTAATGTTGTCGCGGCCGTTTGTTGTTGAGACCTTGACCCTGCAGAGGAGGAAAAGATGACTCAAATAGATCGAGCGCCTCTTTCACTTTCGTTTGGATTTGCAACCCCAAAGGATAGTCTGCTTTCTTGTCCCTCAATTCATTCAGGTGCCCGAGACGTTGGATGTATATGCTAAGGAGATCCACCTCGGGAACAGCTGCAGTCGCAGGGTCGTCATGGACGTATGGTTCGAGCATCCCCGGATGAAAGTTCGCTTGGTGTTCCCAGAAATCGGTGCGAAAGAAAGTGATAGGAGGTAGTTCCACCTGCACCAGGGCAATATGCTTGCAGCAGCTCCCGTGGTCGTGGAAGTACTTGCAGGAGCATTCCATGATGTGGCCAATAGGTGTCTTGGAAAAGTCGATCTTGACGTCGTAGCCAACAGCAGGGTTCGTAAAGGACTCCACATAGAGAGTAACGTCAGACGTTTGCTTGATGTAAGCACCTATATATCCCCTTGATTCCCTGGTCTTGATGTGTTCGGTTGCAAGTGTGGTGAGTTGGAGTTCCTCTAATTGTGCAGGGTTCATTCGGCCAACGTTGACGATGCTCCGTATGCACTTTTGTTGGAAGTGCGGGACTGCCAAGATAGCAAGGACATAGATGACTGTATCCGGGCGTCGCTGCTGCTTGTCTCTGAAGAAGTGGCGCTTGAGAGTATTATGCCAGGACTCGATGTAGTTGTTTGTATCGATAGAGGCGTAGGATATATCTTGACGGTAGCAAAGCATCCAACTCTCTTGTACCTCCTTGACCTGCCACTCGTGTGGCTTGAACATAGACTTGCCAAAGTAGTTCTTGTCGAGATAGTCCATAAGATCCTTCTGGTTGCTCCAGATCTTGCGGAAGGTCTTGATGAGCTCCTGAGCCATCGCATTGCTCCTTTCATACAAGATCTTGCGAAGATCAGATCGGAACTAAAGGTTGGTAGGAAAAGATTAATCATCATTAATTGTATCTACTACATGTAACTGGCGCACCGGTGTTCAGCATGTCGAATCTTTTCACTTACCTGTTTTATGGTATTTTCTTTTTCTATGTCTGAGAGGGCTTTTAGTCCCTTCATCCTGCTCTTGACCTGACGCTCCCACACCCTTAGGACATGCCATGCACAATAGAGGATGGGCACTCCAGGGAAAACGGTCTTCATAGCCAGGATCTCACTACCGCCTTGATCCGTGATAATGGCGTTCGGAAGGAAATTGTACTCTTTGGTGTCGGTAGAGAAGAGGTCTTTCATCTTTCTACAAATGGCAAGTAACCAGTTTGACAAGATGAAGGCATCGCCAGTCTTTGTAAGAAGAAATGCAACAGGGATACCGAACCCTGTATCTGCGTTCTTTACGACAAGAGTGAACAAGTTCGTCGCATGCCTAAGAAGAATTAATAGAGGAGGGTAAGTAAAAACACTTATACAAATATCGCTGAAGCACTGCAAAGAGAAAATAAACATACCCAAACACATTATGGGTTCCATCAAAGCATATCGCTCTTCCATGGGTCCTGAGCTGCTGTAGTTGCCACAAGGAAGCGAACCCAAAATATAGACCACTTGTTGTGTCCTCCTTATCATAGAAAGTGAACGCGCTGTTCCTTTCAAATTCCTCCATCCATTTTATAGCGGACAAAACTGGATCCGGGTCCTTTCTCATTTTGGCGGTTGTTATCCTGTGCCATATATTGTAGACGTCGTCGTAAGTAATGAAGTCGTCTCGCGACAACTGCTGCCCGTTTCCTCGTGTGATCTTCATGAATTTATCGTAGTCCAGTGTCAGCTGTTGCATTACTCGTTGAATGGTTGATCCTTGGTTTAGGAGGCCTTTCAGGTCCAAGTTATCATATGGTGTTTGTTACATCTCTGTAGATCTCGACAATATCCATAGCGACTATGGGATGAGAATGTATATATGATACCAAGCATATAAGACAACCATTGTAACATTTTTTGTTCAACTATCCTACTAAACACCAACCTATTCTCCAAACAACAAAGTCTTCTTATTTTTCGCACACCACACTCTTGAATGTGTCCATCTACTATTAACCTGTAACCCTCACTGCAAGATTCGCCAGAGTAGTTCTTGTATGTGATCATCTAAAGCACTTGTACTCTCAACTGTATCTTTGGGGCGAAATACAGGGGAGAGATAACATTTTAAAAATTCTTGTGCTGTCTACTGCTATTTTATTCTGTGTTCTGTTGCCCACTATGAAGAGATATGCCAGTTATGGAAGTCAACACTCCGTTCCTTGGGCTTTGGATATTTTTTATATGCCTTTTTATATCCTCTGCACATGAAGGGGTCGCTTAGCAGACGCTCGATTGTGGCCTTGATAGCTGCCGACTTTTGTCGTGTGCCAAGATCGGTGATGTCGCCAATGGAGTGGTTGTGTTGATAATGATACTCGACAATACACCCTGGCTTATTAAAGCCATCTGCCATTGGTATCGACTGGAACAAGGCATAGATCCTGGAGAGGCAGCCCTTCTTGATCCCTTCTTTTCGCAGCCTGGGTTTGCCCTCCTTTCCTCCCTTGACAAGGTCCTTCCGCACTTGCTTTTGGCCGGCGCATTGGCAGGTGTAAGTGAGCCGACATTGATCCTTGACAGGATACTTGTAGGTCTTTGAGAGACGAAAGTTGGTGGAGATAGCTCATTGGTGCTTCTCTCTCCAAGCCTCGAAGAGGTCGGGAACAATAAGGAACTCGGCAACATTCTCGTCAAGCCTGATAAACCGGGAGTCTGGATCCAGTTTGAAGTGCTTCGCAGAGTCGTGAATGTCTGTGTCATTGTACAGAACGCCTCGCAGCCTGCTCAGCACTATGCCGTCGAACCCTTCCGCGATGCGAGCCTTCAATAACTGTAGCAGTATTAAAACAAGTCAGTATATGGCAAGGTAATAGTCGTGCACAGCCAACAGTGAGGCACAATGATGAAAAAAGCTACTAACCTCTAAGCCATCCTCAGTTTTAATATCCTCCTTCTTAGTGTCCTCTTGGTACTCTTCTCCATCATCCTCAGCAGCTTCCGCTTTAGCTACATACTGGTGCAACAGGCGAAGACTGGGACAGAGAAGTATAGAACGGGGACGAGAGTTGAAGCAGTGATGATTGATGTTATTACTATGGTACAACTAAATATATATACAAAGTCGCCAACTAGGTTTCTAGGTGTGGTGTCATAGTAAGTCAGAGATGATAGAGAGTGACAAGGAATGACTAACTAGAGAGCAATGATAAACCTAATATGTTGCACCTTCCCCTCTTAAAAAAAATCCGCTAAGTCCTAAGGCCATGGTCGCGCTTGTACTTGTTGAGGATGTCCT